GGTATGTATTCTTGCTCTTCATGTAAGATATCTGCAGGAGAAGGTCTATTATAATAATATAATCTTTGAGTAGGCTTATCAGCATATTTATTCAATTTATTAATAATCCTTATTCCCTTCAATCTTCCTGAGAATTCTTCTTCCAAAGTATTAATTTTTAATTTTTAAATTTAGTATCTAGTAGTTTCTCTAATTTTGACTAGGATTTTAATTTAAAATCTTTTATTTCAGGTGGTGGTTGAAGAGTTGGTGCTGCAACAACATCTACTCTATTAGTGCTAGAACCAATAGGATGACTATCAAATGTACAAATTTGTCTAACCTACTTTGTATAGATAAGATTTGTTCCCTTAAAATGTTTAAATAAACATCTGTATAATTATTTTGTTCTATTATCTTATTTATCTGTTTTACTGTTATAACCAAAGATTCATCTTCAAATGACTTTGTATATGCAGAATAACTCATAACAACATTATTTTCCTTTTCTATTTTAAAAGGTTGTTGTGGAGGAAATAGTGCTTTTAGAGTATTTCCATTCGAGAGTTTATAATCTCTTTCTAATACACATATGTGTGGTTCAACATAAACAGATATAAATCATGGAACAAAAGGAAATAAAACATTATTATATGATAAAAACTTATAAAATTCATGCGAAATAAATTTTTGCATTTCTAAAGAGAAATTTGGGAAAAACCACTTTCTAAATGATTCTCATCTTGGAAGATTAAACTCTTCTTTGACTTGATGCCTAGCCAAAGAACCTGGACTAACATCTATCTTATTCATATTGAAAATGCCATTTCTGACTCAGTTATCTCTTCGTCTTTTGTGTTATAAACACCTTTAACTATATATTTTTTTATTTTTTTTACTAATTTATATATTCTCATCACGTTTACTAACCTGTGAAATAAAAACATGATAAGGATGTTCACTAAATGAAGTAGAAGCACGACTAGGACTAAAATCTTTATCCTCTATTAGAGTTGAAATATAATGAGTTGAATATGATCGAGTTAATCCAGATGTATGAGATATGTTATTATTCAATAGGAATGAATTATTCCTCATTTGTATATAAACATGTCTTTCAGGAGTTTGTTCAATAGAACTTACTTCTGTATTTGTTTGTGACTGGATATTACCAGTTGTTTCTATAACCCATTGTTCTGGAATAGGTATTTTATCCCATTTAATTGTTCTTCTGGTAGTAATTTTTGATTTATTGAAATTAGTTTCAATTAAAACTGTCTCATTTACATTTTTATCAATTAATTTACAATTGGGATTCAAGGTCATCAAAGGTTTATAATAAATTCTATAACATATACAAATCAATTTTGATCCAGTCATATAATTATATCCATGAGTTTTAACATTCAAAGTCAATGCATCAAGGATATTGACATCACTTAAAGATAATGAAAGATTTGGATAGACATTAAAATAAACTGGGCCATGTGCCAAGCTAGATTGTATTATTCTTATTAATGATTGTTTCCAATTCAAATTTCTAGCATCTCGTAAACATCTATAAAGTTTTCTGGCAATCCTTTTAAAGTTAATGGTTTAAAAGCAATTTATATGAAACCAATATGAATAAATTTATACAATTGACAATATCTATTAGTATCATCTGATTGTAATAATTTGATCTCTATTTCCTCATTATCTAAAGAAATAGATTCTTCAGTTGTTTTAACAACTTGTTCAAACCTAATTTTTCAAAAGTACCTAACTGATATACAGTTTTCAATTCAATCTTTGGAATTGTCTATCTATTAAGTTCTTCTAAGTTTTCAGGAATATCATATTTTTGTTTAAGATTATTTTTAACAGTCTTCTTATTTTTCTGAATTAAATTTATTTGAATTTCAAAAGTGGTTGTTAGGATAAGATTCAGTAGTTACAAGTCTATTCATGGCTCTGAATAGACTAATAAGCCTATTATAAGTACTTTAAACCCGTGTACTTACACCAATATTCTTTGATTATGTTGACATCCATCAGTGACCTAAGTACTTTAAACCTGCTAGACCAGTTATGGCTTCCATCAAGAATTTTGGCACAAGATATACAACAAAATCCCTTTTAAAATCATTTCCATAATTGATTTTCTTTTTGGCAACAATTACTTCTGGCACACAAATTTTCTCCTTTTCCTTTTCCTTTTTATCCTTTTCCTCCTTTGGGTCCTCATTCGGGAAAAACTTTGCGATTTTATTACATGTAGGACTACCAGAAGTCAACTTCTACCTCAACCCCCAACCTTTTAGAAATTCTAAATATGCCTCAGGATCTATGTCCCTTTTTTATCTGGACCTTCAGAAATTGTTTGTGATCCTCTGGAATACCCAAAACAGAATGAACAACCACTTCACCAATTACAATCTTTTCACCACCTTTCAACATTATTGTCCTACGACATGCAATCAAATCTAAGAAACAAACACTTACTAATGTCTTTGCAGATAACATTACTCTTTAATTGCAAAGGTGAATCGAATTTCTTTCACGGTTTCCATTTGTTTAGGTGATAGGTGTTTAACGAGATTGGCGAGTCCACACGGAGATACTCGGGTCTGGAATGATTTACTGTTATTTGTTTTGTTCTTCTTTTTCCTCAAATTCCTTTTTTTTCGTATTGATTTTCATGTATTAACAAACTCGTAAAAATGCAAAAACTTATATAAATTTATTTATGAACTACTTTATATCAATATATATATATATATATATGAACATTAAGACAAAATGATATGAATCAAATGCAACTCAAAATTTAAAACAATAGTTATCCGCAAGGGAAAAATCACCTATTACGAAAATCACAACAATAAAACATGATAAATACTTGTCTTTTCTCTTTTTCTTTGTCCATGTCCTTTTCTACGTTCATGTTTTCATCTCCTTCCATGTGACCATGTAAAACATTAATTCTTTCTAGCAGATTCAATTTTAATTAAAAAAAATTCAAAACTAGAAAACTTTGACAAAAAGAAAGATTAGTAAATATTTCACTGCCAAAGATAAATTCTTTAAAACAGCAGTTCTTTCAATTCCCCCCTTGCCCGCTCCTGAGTAAGAAAACATCAGAATATTTACAATCAAATTATTTATAGAAAAAACTATATTATGTAGATAATTTTAAAAAGACTTTTAAGGCTAAAAAGTCTGTTTAGAGTTTAAAATACGTTTGGACAAAATAATTAAAGTCTTTTCTAAACATCAATTTGAAAAAAAGAAGGTTTGAAATAGACTTTTTAGAAAATCGGTAGGGGGTGTTTTTCAATTTTTTGAAACAGTCTTTTTGTCTCCGTTCACAAGTCTCAATCCGGGTCAAAAGCGGGTTATAAAAAATCAGGTCATGAATCTTTATATATATATATATATATATATATATATATATTAAAGGAAAGAAAGATAATCGACACGTGTCGTCCATTCAAGTCATCATTGTTTTCATGGACATGTGTCATTATCTTATTGGATGGTCATTAAACAGTAAAAAAAATATGGTAACTTAGTTATTCTATTTTATTACTCTTTGTTATTTACCTTACTGTTATTTTATTTTAAAAAAACCAACTGGTGTTACAATCTAAAAAATCAAACAGTTGATTAAAAATCAAACAGTCGATCTAATTCAATCAATCATTTGTCATGGATCTGTATCTTTATTTGAAGAATATTGAATTGTGTTCGTCGGATTCGAATCTAAGTTCGGCGACCGAAGTTATTGTCGTCGACAATATGGACTTTCCAAGATTGAATATAATCATTCAATATTCATTCATTATATAAAGTAATCTCCAAACTCCGTTTCATTTGTCACAGATTTGTATCTTTACTTGGAGAATATTGAATTGTGTGCATCAGAATTCGAATCTGAGTTCGGCGACCGACTAAATTGGTCTCGGCAATATGGACTTTCTAAGATTGAATATAACCATTTTCAATTTTGAAAATAAATAACGATGTCGAAGTTTGGAGTCTGAGTTTTCCGGCCGACGACCTTCGAAATTGCAAGGTTGAAGATGATAATGGTTGGGTTTTGCTAAAAAGTCCCTGATGCCTTAAGCTCTTGCTAATAGGGGTATGGAGTTTTATGTGTTATTCAATTCGGCTAGTAATCAGTCAAATTTTATTGGTAAACAGTAATCAGTTAATCAAAAACCGTATCACTTTTTAAGTGTTGTTCAATTCGGCCAGTAATCACTTAAACATTTTAAGTAAACGGTTAACCCCAATTTTACATTAATTTCTCTCAAGTAATTCAATTACCGTCATCGTAAACTTCTTTTGAAATTGAAATCGATAAATCGAAAATCTGCATTTTTAACTAACTGATATCTCTGATAAAATTGCAGATATGGTTTTTGATTTTTGATTGAGATTAATCTGATAATTCCACTTCGTTTCTTGAGGACGAAGGTCGGCTATTCCGGGCTGACCATATTTGTGTTGTTTAAATAGAATATAAACAGGTGCTTCATATAACTCACGAATTCACAAATACCCTAAAATCAATTTTATATTTCTTCCAATATTCATAGTTATTGATGCCGATGACGAGAAGACTCAACTCCGTTAATCAGTTGAACGGATCAATCGGATGTGGTTGGAACGTGAAAGTCAAGTTGTGCCGTGTATGGGATAGACCATCGTGGGAAAATCAAGATCGAATTGACTTTCGGGAGATGCTTCTAATGGATAATAAGGTTACAATTATATTCGTGTCTTATTTCCAGTTGTTTAACTATTTTATTTTAAATGCCTTTTGTGGTTATAATCATCTAATTATTCGATGTTTAACTTTGAATCAGGGAGACAAAATTGTTGCTTTAGTCCATCATGACCAAATAGAGAGAGTTCAAAGCTGGATTGAAGAAGGGAGTACCAAACAAATCTACAACTTTGGTTCCATTAAAAACGCAGATAAGTTCAGGCAGTGTGCCTAGCCATTCAAGATCAATTTCAAGCCAAAGACCATCATGGCTCCATGCGATGATTTTGATACGTCTCCTTATGGTGGTAACCATGGATTTGACTTCAAAAAATTTTCGGATATCACCAGCCGAAACATTGATGAGAAACAATTAATTGGTAATGCAAATTCGTGTTTCTTGAATATTTATTAAAGGTCTTGTATATTTTTTGTTCTTATATTTAGTTTTGATGCATTATTCGTGTTGTACATTATAGATGTTATTGGGGAGATTGTAGCAATTGGTGCTCTTCAAACCACTGTTTCAAGAGGACGAGAGAAGCAATTCGTTGACATGGAGCTTAGAGATGACAAGTATGTGGATTCAGTTATGTTATTCTTTAACTTTTGATTTTAGATTTGTTGTCTTATTAATTCGGGTTTGTGTGTTTGAATTAATTTTGACAGTAACCACACACTGAATTGTACCCTCTGGGGAGAGCTTGCTGAAAGGGTTTTGGAACATATTCATGCGAGGGAATCAACGAGGATCGTGGTCATCATTGGACATGCCATGATTAATAGCTATAAAGGTAATGTCTTATCAAATTTATAATTGCCAAGCTCTTGTTTACCTTTAAAATTCATAATCAAATATTATTTTTTACATATTTTTAGATAAGATAAAGATCCAAAATGCTCTATGGAGTCGACTGTGTGGGTGGATGATACCATGGATGAGACTGTTAATTTTAAGGAGAGGTAATCGTGTCAATAATTAATTGTTTTTTTTTTATGTAAAGATATCACTATTGACTTATTTGCCTCCTGGCGATGTTTCACTTAATAGGATGAAATCGTCAGGTGATTATGAGGGCGATGAAAAGTTTTCAATCGTTGAGCCAATTACGCTGCAAAAACAAGAATGATGACCCGTTAATGTGGTATAGAACTACAATTGTTGGATTACAGAATATAACCATAGTAAGTGATTGTCTTACTATCTTTTCGGTTTTAATCATTCTTTAATATATATATATATAATGATTTTTATTAGGGTTTAATTTTTGTATGCGCTACTCCAGGCTGCAAGAAAATTACATCTACATTTAGTCCGAGGTATTTGCAATTCAGTATTAACTTCTTCTTTTTTAGTATTAACATTATTGGATTTATAATGTTTTTGGCTATTTTATTATTTAAAATTTTGAATGTATTTCATCTGAATACCACAATTCTTTATTGTTTTTCAAGGTACAAGATGCAATTAAGTGTGGAAGATGGAACACTCGGAACATGCAAGTTTGTGATGTTCGATCGTGATATTCATCGACTTATGAATCGATCGTGTCAAGAGATTAGGGAGTCGATGGGAGAAGTTCGTCTAATAAATTAGTTGTTCTTTTTAAACTTAAGGATTACATTTTCGTTTTAGTGTCCGCCAATTGATCTTACATTTGTGTCTTTAGGATGAAAAAGAACGTGGGGAAATTCCCGAGGAACTTTATCAACTCGTGGGTAAACGTGTAATCTTCAAATTTGAGGTCACTGAATATCTCATTACGACAGGGATGAATGTATATACATGTGCAAAGATTGTTGATGATCCTATCATCATTGAAAGGTTTGAAAATGCCGATGATCCTTTGGAGGTACGTTGGGAGTGACATTATATTCATGCCACTTTTTTTACAAAACGTTCTATTGTTTAACTGGGTTCGTAAAACCGCAGATGCATGAGGATGAGATCACTGACCTCCCCTCCAATGTTGCAAATTCGGACTATGTTTCTGATGAACTTCAAAAGGTGTTAATTACATCTGAAATATTACTCTTATAAATAAAGGATTATAATCAATAATGTTTTTCCTTTATTGAACTAAAATTTTCTCCTGTCAGCAGGGGAATTCATCATACTCTGATGCAAAAGATGGTGAAGTTGAAGATTATACACTGACTTGTGATAGTTCCGAGAAGAAGAGGAAAACTTCTGTTTTTGATGAAGAAAATTTCACTGCCGGATCGTCCACTATGAAGAAACATTGTTGAAGTAGTTTTTGCATATCAAATAATACTGTCCGGATGTGGACATTAATTTGATTTCTCTTAAATTTCTTTGCAAATAAACAGTTCAATCAACTGTAGGATTGACATGATCAAGTCGTTGTTTATTGGTTTGCAACGCAATTGGAGTTTAGCCCTCAAAAACTTTAATTTACTTTTGAATTCTGAGATAATCGTATTACGTCTTACTATTTACAAAATTTATTTCGTTATTTCCTTAAATTGTCTGATTTATATAATTTTGGATGAGTTGGATATGCTTGAAAGAATTCAGGCCATGAAAGTATGGATATTACATTTTTAGTGCTGGAAAAAAATCAACGATCGAAACAGCTTGCTGTTTTACTTCAGAAAGAAACAGAAATTGAAACAGCTCGTTGTTGGATACGCTTGCTACTTTGCCAAATGAAGAAAACATAGTATAACTGAAACAACGAGCTGTTTTGTGTGGAACTTATATAATTTTGTTCTTATGGTAATTTGCAACCAGTTTGAATACAATTGGATTTCGATTGAATTATCTTATAGCTGGGTCTTGGAGTTGTACGTGTGTGTCAATGGTGGTTTTAAGAAGTTTTTCAATTCGATTCATATACTGGAAATTATGCACTATTTGGCGAAAAAACAAGAAAAAAAAAGATAAATGTACCCTATTGAGTTTATTTAAGGTTTAGAACCAACGTCTTAATTATTTGAAAGTTTGTAAGATAACATGACTGAAGGTGATGATTTTTTTAATATCTATTGTAAATAACGGTGATCATTGTGCGTAGGAATTCTACTAGGAGTTTAGATAATTATCCTTTTTTGGGCGGCGAATTTTAACTCCTGTAGTTGAGACGATGAATTACTAAATAGTCACTCCGTAATTATTTGCTTTTATTATTTCAATTATGATCCGATGTTCACTTACGTTGCTAATCAGTAATATTTTTTAATCATTGGTGAATATATGATATTACACAAATCTGTCTCAACGAATACAATTACCCGCACCGTAATTGTCGTTTTAAATTGAATTCAAAAAATCCATAATCTATAGATAAAATCAAAATTTAGAAATTTAAGATCGTTAAATTCGTGAATTTATATTTTTCTCGATAAGCTTTACCCCACTCGCCTCTGATCCGATCATGATTAGTTTGGAACTTTACCCTATAAGTTCAAATTTTTTTTGTTTTAAAACATAAATAACTTTTCCTAAAAAATCTTAAACTTATATTTATCTTGAATTGTCTAATCCCATGTGATTTACATTTAAATTAGAATACTTATAATTTTGAAATTCTTAATAGACATCTCTATAACGTTATCATCATATTCGTTATCAATAAAAAAAAATTGGGCATCTTTTCAAAATATTGATGAGTCTTTTTAAAATTTAATTAATGGATTTATGCAGATAAATTACTTTAACAATTTGAAAACAACCCGCGAATAGAGACTTGAAATATCCGCTTTCAATTAGACCAATTTGCAACCTCAAATTCATCCGACCAGTCCTTTTCTAAGTTTCCTACCTTATACTTTCTGAATCATCTCTCCACAAATGGCAAATTCCATGATTCTTTCTGGCTCAAATTCTTCCTCTCAGAAATTTCCAAAGCTCAGTTCGAGTCTTTCCCGAACTACCTTTGATGATCTTCCCTATGATATGGTTTCTAAAATCCTCAGCAAACTTGATCATTGATACAATCCATGAGACATTCATGAGACGTTCCGAGATGCTTGTGACACATTGGGTTGTTTTAAAGAAGATAGTGAATTCATTGATACAATCATAGAATCGACACGAACCAGATCGTCGTCTTATGTGAGAACTTTATGACAACTTATTAACACCAAGACTGTCACGAAACCAAGACATGTTTGGGAGAAGACATGGCATCTAATGACCGATGATATTGAATACAAGCGACGATTAATTTGTGGACGAGACACAGGTACATATTTTTTTCTATAGTGTTTTTACTTTTCCATTACGAATCTTTTTTTTGTAATGTTAAAATATTTAAACGTTTTGCATGTTTCAAATAATATAATAACCATTGATTTTTTTAACGTTTTTTTTTATTCTTATCAGTGGTTGAGCTGTCTGAAGAAGATTTTCACAATTACACTTTAGCTGAGGTGGATAAATTATTGAAAAAGCTAGGCAGCGGTTTGAAGAATTTTAAGACAATGCCATACCCAGCTAAGTACATAGACAATGATTGTTATAACCAATTCATCAGTTCTGAAAAAAAATTACAATGTGAGGGGATTACGTGATGATCATGAATCGTTGGTGTCTGCGTTAACTGATGAACAAAAAAATGTGTACGACAAGATCATTGGTGCAGTGTCAAGTGGAAAAGGTGGTTTATTTTTTCTTTACGGTTATGGAGGTACTGGAAAAACATTCATTTGGAAAACTTTGTCTGCATCCCTACGTAGTAAAGGAGAAATTGTGCTCAATGTTGCTTCCAGTGGAATTGCATCTTTACTCCTCTCTGGTGGTAGAACTGCGCATTCGAGATTTGGCATTCCACTTCATGTGACTGATACGTCTGTTTGTAATGTCTCACCTGATGATGAATTGGCTGCTTTGTTCCACCGTACAAGTTTAATAATATGGGATGAAGTTCCCATGACTCACAGACATTGTTTCGAGGTGTTGGACAGGAGTTTGAAAGATATAATGCATCGAAGAAACCCGAGAACATGTAATCTACCTTTCGGGGGAATTGTTACAATGTCTGGTGGAGATTTCAGACAGATTCTGCCAGTTATTCCTAGGGGAACTAGGCATGAGATTGTTGATGCCGCCATAAATGCATCGGTTCTTTGGAAAAAAATGTGAAGTCTTGAAGTTAACAAAGAACATGAGATTAACACAAGGATCTGATCCGGAAGAATCGGATGAAATAAAAGAGTTTTCTGAATGGTTACTAAATATCGGCGAAGGAACTGCAGGTGGTCGAAATAATGGTGAACTTGATATCGAAATTCCTAAAGATCTTCTCATTGAACCAACAGGTAGTCCTATTGCTTCTGTTTGCAATGCCATTTATCCTGATATTCTTTCCAATCTAAAAGTGCCTAATTTCTTTAATGAAAGAGCTATTTTGGCTCCCACCAATGATGATGTTGATACTATAAATCAACATATGTTGTCTTTGCTTGCTGGTGAAGCAAAGGTGTATTATATATAGCTCTGATTCCTTGGAAGAGACTGCAAGGTCCATTAATCCCGAAAATGATACCGTATACACTACTGAATTTCTGAATTCAATAAAATGTTCGGGAATGCCGAACCACAAGGTGACACTTAAAGTTGGGGTGCCGATCATGCTTCTTCGAAATCTTAATCAACCAGGGGGTCTGTGTAATGGTACACGATTACAGGTTAATGAGCTGGGAGAACGTGTGATTCGGGCGACAATTATATCTGGGGCAAATATTGGTCGAAAAGCATTCATTCCTCGCATGGATATTAGCCCTTCTGAACCGAGAATGCCAGTTAAACTCAGGCGTAGACAGTTTTCGGTAGTCGTGTGTTTTGCGATGACAATTAATAAGAGTCAAGGACAATCACTAATGGAGGTTGGTCTGTTTTTGCGTCGCCCAGTCTTTACACATGGCCAGCTATATATAGCATTGTCTCGGGTGAAATCCAGAAAAGGTCTTAAAGTGTTGATATGCAACAGGGATGGACAATGTAGCAGTCGCACTACCAATGTGGTGTATAAAGAAACTCTCCGGAATATATGATCTTAATAAAATCTTTTTTTTTTCCCTTTTTTTTAATAATAAAGTTACTTGTGATAACTTCTTGCAAACCAAATATTTCTAATGAAGTTTCTAATGTTTCGTTTAATTGTGTTTCAAATAATTTTATTTTAAATATAAATTCACAATAAAGGTGTGATTATATTTTTCAATATTTAAATGTTATGTATAAGATAAATTTTATTTTTTAATGTTTACTATAGGAATATCTTAATATTCGCCGTGCGATGCACGGGTCACACACTAGTATCATTAACAAGACAAAAAAAAAAGTGCGTTACACGCACGGCTCCCCTTCCCCCACCCTTCCCATCTCTTACTTACTATTCTTTCGGCCCCACTTTTCTTTTCAATTTTTAGTTATTTTTATTTTTTTCCTATTTTTTCAAATGATTATATCTTTTAATATATAAATAATTAGACAACATGCTATATATCAAATTAATCTATGCGACGAGATCTTTCTATTACGATCCATCATTAATATTTTTCGAACTAAAAATTTCATTCAAATTTATATATCAAAATCAATATATATATATATATATATTGTTTAACTATTATGCATATGAAAAGTTAAATTATTTTTTTTTACCAAAAAAAAGGTTAATTTTTATTTCTTTTTTTTAATTTTATTCTTCACTAATTACATTTTGAACTTTTTTTTTAATTTTTCATTATTTGTTTCTTTTTAATATATATTTTTTGAAAAATATTTTTCACAAATTATTTGTCTTTAAGTGTATAAGAATTTAATTTTTGTTTTTTAGTAAAATAATACTTTTGTATCACATTTATTTTCTTTTTAATGATGTCATAAATATAATGAATTTACTGCAAGTACGAATATAACTGTAGTAATGATAGAAATTAAAAATTAATTAAAAAATTATCTGTTAGTATTTGTTCATCACAACTTATTATACTACCAAATACCTCCTCAACTTATAGTCAACCTACCAAAAACCCCCTTAAGATAATAACATCATTATCAATTTTATATAAACGGCAAAAACTACTCTCTACTCTATATTTTTTAAATTATACGATTTTTAAATATTTTTAAAATATATCATAAATTAAGGTTAAAAAATACGATATTAATCATTTTATAATAATGCACTTAAATAGTAAATTTTCAAAATTTAACTCTATTATTTTGAAATAAAATAATTTTGATCAATTAATTTAGATTATTAATTATGAATTAACTTTTATATAGTAACATACATTATTAATCATCGATTAACTCTTTTTTTTTGTAAATTTATAATATAATTAAAAATTGATATAAATAAATTCACATTTTTAATGGTCAAAATATAAAGAAAAACAAACCAAAAAAACAAGAAAGTAAAGAAATTGAAGTGTATATAAACTACGGTTAATATGGTCATTTCAATATTTGACCCTACTCAAGAGGTATATAGTAATATTACTAAAACTCAGGGAGTTTTTGGTAGATCGGACCAAAACTCGGGGGTAAAATGTAGTTCACCCTATTTAATAAGTTAGAATGGTATAAATATTATACATTTAATTTAGTTAGAATGGTTTTAAATCTACACTCTAGTTTTGATATATGTTGGAACTTGGAAAGGTAAAGTGTGTTAAAAAAAATTTAGAACAAGATAATTGTGAATAATAAAAAAAATAATTTACTCTAGTTTTGATATATGTTGGAACTTGGAAAGGTAAAGTGTGTTAAAAAAAATTTAGAACAAGATAATTGTGAATAATAAAAAAAATAATTTAGAAAAAAAAGTGAAAAAATGAAAATAAAAATTTGTCTAAGAATATTTTTATTTTTTTTAAAAAAAGTTAATTAATTATTTTTTTAACAAAAAGTACTTTTGAAAAAGACCAAATCCAAATAGCTTTTTCATATTTTTAACACGTAAAAGGGTTTCGAGAAATTCTTGTCCAAATGAATTATTTTTAACTTTTGCTTCAAACAGACTTTTATGAACAATTTTTCAAAATTCTCTTCCAAATGGAGCCTTAAATTCCTAAAGAGCTCTAACTGCAATTGCCTTTGGGTTCAACTGATTCAATAAATTCTCTGACAAAGTTATCATGGCACAAAATTTTATAGGAAGGAAAAGAAAATAAGCGCCGCCTGATTCATGAAAACAACAAGAATTCTATACCGTTTGAACTTGCGTCAACGGAAACCCTTCTCTGCTCTGTTGTTAAGCGGTGAAACGCATGAATACTTCAGTCTGGAAAACATTAGAGTGAAAAAGTTTCCATTAGCATAACGTTAGCCCGATCCATTGACCACTATTTGTTACATGAAATTACCAACAAATATAATTTTAGACAAAATCAAATTGATACCCAGAACCCAAATATTAAGTTGTACGAACTGGAAACCAAAGTAACTAATCACTTGTAATCAGAACTTTACAAGAACCAGATACATATTAGGCAGAACCCTAGAGATGCATATGGGTACTTCAATATTCATAATGGAACCAAAAAAAAAATAAAAAATAAAAAAATCATATAATAATAAAATTCAATTCATGGATCATACTTTCAGATCCAGATAAAAAATCTCACCCCGCGGTACATCGCCTCACTACGTCGCCTCACTTGCCGAACTGTTTGTTCATTATAAACGATGATGAAGTAATTGGTAGGTACTTATAGGAATATTACACATGAGTTTATGGAGTTTGATAATGAGAAGAATACTTCTTTTTCTATTAGGATTAAGATGAGTACAATTGTAGTCAAATTTAAATTTTAATACCAAGTAACATGTGACCAAATATATAATAATAGATTTGTTCGTATCACATTTTTAGAGTATCATTTAAATTGTATTTTTGTATTGACTATATATATGTGTTTATATACTTAAACTAATATTAATGTTAGTATATCAAAAATAAAATCTAAAAATCACCCGTACGCAAGCATAACACTAGTACATATAATTTGTATATAAGAAATTGACAGAGTAGAATATAGTATATTTTGATGGTTATGAAAAGTAGTAAAGAGAAATAAAATGAAATAAAAAAATAAATAAAAAGTAAAAATAGATTGTTTTATTATTTTATAATTTTTTAAAACTATCAGGGTATTTTTTGTTAAAAACTAACGGAAATCCGTTAACTTTAACGGAAATTGGGCCAGTTGGACGAAAATGGTGAAAATTTCAACAGTAAATACAAAATTGACTAACCAAAAATCAATGGGATATGATTGACGGCCAAAGCTGGTATAATGCCATTTTTTTCCTTGTTTTACCCTACAAGATCGAACTATGGAACGAAGAGCAGATATTCTAGCTATGTATCATACAATTAATTTAAAAGTTAAAACCCATCATTATTTTTAATATAAAAAATAACATAGTCTAACTGTCTTTATTTGATAAAAGATGAACAACTTCTAGTGGTAAATTGGAGATTCCATCAAACGTCTTGTTGACGTACACTAATAATCAATCTATAGTATATATTATTATTTATTATTATACTAAGAGAGAAACCAGAGAGAGAAAACAAAAAAGAATTCTAAAAGTGGCACATAGGATAAAATCATATGTGTCATTTTTCTAATGATTGAGTCAAAAAATATTTACCACAATTATACTAATAGTCCTTCAAATTTTATGTAAATAAAGTTTTATCAAATGGCATTTAAAACTATAGTTTAAAATAGGAAAATAAAAATTAATTAAATTTAATGGACGGGATTAATGAACATTAATGCACCAGAATTATTCCCTCCCCAATAGAATCCCCAAAGTTACTACTGGACTCATTTAATTAATCTCTTTCAAAAAAAAATCTCCCTCCCAATCATGTAAATCAATAGACTACAATTCAAAAAAAAAAAAAAAATACCAATCATTCAACATTAATGTTATCTTTAAAATCTTCTCCCAAAAACATGATCCAATATTTTTCGCCAATAAAAAAAAAAATATACAAAACTTGCCTTCAATTATTACTAAAAGGATGGGATTTAACTATAATTAAATGTTATCTTTTGAATTTCAAACCAATGCATTTATTTGTGTAATATCATATCTACCCAAATAAATATAATCTTTCCTTAATAATATCTCAAAAATTGTTATAAAATTTATCTTTATCACTGAAATTTTGGATAATCAATTATTATCAATCTCAATTTATCTCTATTTATACATGCCACACAAATCATGAGTATGTTTCAGTGCTGCAAAAATTTCCCCCTCCCCAAAACAACCCGAAATCCAAAGATGAAAAGGCAAAAATTTTAGCCCCAGCTGGTTAGTTGTTCTAAAAACGATGAACTAATAGTGGGTGGATCGTGTGGCATGGGAGGTAATGGTTAATTAAGGTTATATATGATTTTTTTTTCCGTATGCTCTTCTGCAAAATGATGTTTTAGGGTTCTTTTCTATACGTTACTAAATTTATGTTTTTTTTTTTTACCCATGATTTCATTAATTATTATTTTCTATTATCATAGCAAAAAAGGATTAAAGGACAAAAATTTTAACTCTATAGTTGGTTTGTTCCTCTAAAATATTAAGTATTGGGCCAAATAGTACCATAAAATCTTTAATTACAACAAAATAATCATAAAAATTTTAAACTTCATACTTCAATCACACATAATCTACCATCTACTATTGATAATTATTTCATTATGTATTTTACGCATACGATTATTTTATCTTTCCATTCAATATGTAACATTAATACAATCTTATTTATTTTATTCTGCTTATGAGTGTTATTGTTCAGTTCTTCTCCTTTAATAAAAATCAAGTGAACACTTGCATTTCAAATGATATGCATTATTTTATCTTTACAATTACGCCTTTATTTAATTTTAGTTGTGTAATATATCTTAATATGGACTCTAAATACATTTTACACTTTTTATATTTTTTTGTTGATTTTTTATAGTGTATATAAACAAATCCCGCGCATCGCCCGGATTTAACATCTAGTTAATTGATAATCTATATAATGGCGACTTGGACTACCTAAGGTGAGAAGTTAAAATATTTTAAGGGCTTTGCTAAGATAAGAATTCTCTTTTGACTGATATGCGTCTACTTCAAAGTCCAGTTCCAGCGAGTATGCTTATGATGTTATTACATTTTTTCTTCCAAGAGATTTATATACTGATTATTATTTGTTTATTTATTTTTAATTAATGGACTCAAATTCATGACTTATTAGTGGAAAAGAAGGTTACGGTTTAGCTGCAAATTCATCATCTAACGAAATCTTCACGTATGATATCAGTTGCGGGAGAAAAATAACACATCTATGTTAAACCCTGCAAAATTAACAAAATTTTCAATATTAGCAAAAAAGTTAATTGAGGACCAAAATTATTCCGTTTCCATTTCACTATCGAAATCTCATTTTACTTTTTTTATTTACACTTTTTGTTCATTATTTGCTACATATATTTTCGAAGAGCCGTGTTGTATCGCTACTTTATTAGTTGTTACATCACCACCTAAAAATGTCCAAATTTTCTTTGCAGACAAATGGGAGAGGAGGGTGTTTCATCAACACGGTTTTATGTTTGGTAATCAAAAATATGAATGAATTATATTCACTTGTACTCTTTTGGGCTGTCTACTGATGTGTCTTCTACCAAAGAAAGATTATAATTAGAAGACTTGATGAAGACCTGTCCAAAAATTAATGACGAATGAGATGACTTCAAGAAAGATGGCGTACTCTCTACTTGTTTTGTTGTTCATAATCTTAATTAAGTATTGATAAATTTACAAAAATCCAAACTTTTTTTGCATTGTTCTTTCTTCATTTCTTTGTAGTCTGAAGAACTGTCCAAATTTCCAACTAACAAGTTAGACTGTGAGAAGAAATTAATGTATGGACACTTAACTGGTTAAACAAGTGATGACTTTTCTACTATGAACTGGATAGTAGTAGCCTGGAAATTACTTGCTATTTGTGTGGAAGAATGCTTGAACATACACAGTAAATTCCCATATGAGTATCTCACTATAAATTCTTGAAAAGGGTTGCTTTTGTCGCAGGCAAAAACCCGCGAAAAAAATTTCTCTAAGCAAATCATTTTTCCTCATGTCTGTGCCAGTTGATCCAAATTTGCTGGAAGAGAATGATGATGGTGAGGCTCATGGAGTTACTAAGACTATGGAGCCTGAGCTTTACAAAGCCACAGTTGGAGGGGATATTCTTGAATTTGTGATGGCAATGGAAAATTGGGCTGTCAACAGACATCATTGTCTTTCAGCTTTGTGTGTTCCATTAGGCCCTCAGAAGAACACGGTTCTTCATCTCGCGACAAGCTGTGGACACCATGAGATCGTTAAGCTACTTTGCAAGGATTTACCCGACTTGATTGCTGAAAAGGATGCTAGAGGTGATACTGCCCTTCATATTGCAGCCAGGGCTGGAGATGGAATGCTGATATTGCTCTTAACCGGTTCAGATTACGCGGGTTGTGTTCTAGGGGAAACAAATGATGCAGGAAACACTCCCCTGCATGAGGCATTGCAGTATCATCACGAAGATGTGGCTCGGATTCTTGTTCAGAAAAATCGGAATTTGAGTTATTCTGTCAATAGGGAGGGCAAGTCTGTGATGTATCTGGCTGCAGAAGCAGGATATGCTGCCATCACTAGGCTTCTTGTGGAAAACCCTGTTGGATATTGTAATGTTAGTGAAAAGGACAAAGATAAGTCACCTCTTATTGCTGCAATCCGTGGAAGGAATATTGGTATTCATGCTTTTAACCTCCTCCAAAAAAAACTGCCTACTTCTTTTCCAATTATCCTGCTTAATTTCTATCAGAAACATTTAAGTTGCATAATCATGCAATTTTTTGATCAGTTACAATATGATGAACTTCCTTAGTTAACAAACAAGTTTACTTCTCTTCCCAAAAGTTTAGCAAATTTTCATTTGAGGCTTGTCATGTTTCATAAACTTGCAAGCAATTGGTAATGGCAACTGGAAACATAAGCTTATATAGCTGTGTATTGGATTCATGTGATCATTACGGCATTTTCGTGTTCTTTGGAATTTCAGAGGTCTTGAAGTTGTTGTGGTGGAAGGATCATTCATCATTTATAAAGCGTAACAAAGGAAGGAATCCTCTTCACTATGCTGCTTGTACCGGCTTCACTGAAGGAGCTGAGTTCCTGCTAGAACAATTCTACAGTTTCGCTTATTGGACCGACAAACAAGGATTGTTTCCTATTCATGTAGCTGCCATCCAAGGTCATGTCGAGATTATCCGAATGATGCTTCAGCTCAGGCCAGATTCAGGGGAGTTGCTAACTCCACAAAGGCAAAACATCCTTCACCTTGCAGCTAAATGCGGAAAAGTCAAAGCCTTTGATGCTATGGTTATGTTGCCAGAATTAGAGAAACTTCTCAATGCAAGAGATGATGATGGGAACACCCCTTTACATGTAGCTACAATTTATGGCCATCCAAAGGTGGTGAGCACTTTAATGTGGGATAATCGTGTTAATCTCAAGGTAGAAAATAATGAAGGCCTGACTGCCCATGACATTGCTGAGGAACAGATGAAACCAGAAATGCTATCATTTCGAAAGGTATGTCCAGATAAGTCCATAATTTATTATTAGGAAATGTGCAAATTTCAGTAATAACAATGTACACTGCTGATTATATATGATCATCCATCTGAATGTAAAGTGTAAATGTCAAGAATCGAATCTCATTTGTGATGCAGCACATGACATGGATGGCCTTAAGACTTGTCGACACTCCTAGAGCTCCCAACACTATCTTCAACAAGACTATGCACCCTATCATTGGAAATCACTCAAAGAACACAGAAAATTTCAGAGATAAGGTTAATGTGATTCTTTTGGTTGCAACACTTGTCGCAACAGTGACATTCACTGCTGGATTCACTGTGCCTGGTGGTACCAACAATTCTGATCCTGATCAAGGCATTGCCAACATGCTAGAGAAAGTAAAGTTTCAGGCATTTGTCATTTGTGACTCTTTAGCTATGTATATCTCCATCATCGTCGCTGTTATACTCCTGTGGGCGCAACTGGCAGATCAGAAATCAATGTACGTCGCCTTAAAACTCGCCCTACCACTTTTGGGGATAGCGCTCGCGATGATGTCAATAGCATTTATGGCAGGCATGTATCTGGTGGTGAGCAAACTTGGTTGGCTTGCAAAACTTGTGCTGCTCTTGGGCTCGCACTTTGTCGTAGTGCTTGGACTACTCTTCCTTCCACTTTGCTTCCTTGGTTCGTCAAATTACCGTATGCTAAGGTTCATCTCCTACTATCCATTCTCCTTGATGTTATATGCATTGGGAAACTATGCAGAGAATGAAGCTGAAGAATAGTTGATTCATAGTTCTGTAAATATAGGCAGCCTCACTCAACTGAGGTTGAAATTGGTTAGACCAATTATCTGTTGGTCTGCTATTGTGTTTAGTTCCATTTTGGTGTGGCTCCAAATGAAATAAAGTGGTGAGTGTATGGTAGCCTTCAAATGGTAATCTGCCATTTGAATTCTAGGGAGAAACAGTCCTGAAGCAGAATGATCTTTCTGCTACTATCCTGTATAGAATGTGAATATTTGGTACTATGTAGCCAAAGCTTAGTAGTGGTCCTCATGGAGGATTGTACATAATTCTGTACAAAAAATACTGCTTTTGGCGATGGCCTTTTATCTTAATAGCAGTGACAATTTGTGCTACGATACAAGTGATTGATAAGAATTTAAGTAATCTTACAAACAAATTTTTTTTATTTCGTAGATAATATGAACACGACACGAAAATTATGAACATTAATCACGTAATAAAATTATTCTTCAAGAACTAATAATATCACTAGATTGTTGTGAACCGCACGAGGTGCGGTGTAGGTGTGAAGAGGCCCGAATTATTAGTTTTTGGCATCGAAATAAATAGTGAAAAATGGATAAAATTTTATTTCATCACATAGTATATAACTTATTTGAGTAATAATTATACAAAGGATTTGAAATGTAATATTAATATGTAGTATAGTATGACGAAAAGGACAAATACAAAAGAAAAACAAAAAAAAACGTGTAGAAATATTGTGCTGGTAAACAATGGTGAAGAATTCATGCAATTAATGGTAAGGAATAATGCAATAGAAATATCAAATCAAACAGATCCTGTTTTGAGCTTCTTGGTAATATCGGCAATAAGTACCCAATGCAAAATTTTCCCATAATAAGATTAAGCTCAATGATAACTACCCTTCTGCAAATGAACCATTCTATTATGTGCATCATTTGGTAATAGAAGATCTACTCCTAATCCATTAATAAGTCCTAATCCATTAATAAGTCAGGGGAACAGGATAACAAGCTTAGCTATGGTAATTCATGCCTTAAATCTACCCCATCGCCTCCATGCCACATCTGCCACTTGGCTATGAACAACAAATCATGGATGGCAATAATCAAATATGTTCTCAACTTTTGACCCCAATCTGATTTTCGGTTTCATTATTACAAAAATCTCTGCAACGTTCTACTTTATTTTCTCTACAATACCAGTACTGCAGCTATCATTCACAATAGCAATCTCGGGCGTTTGGGTTGCTGTGCCCAAGGGCTTTTCTTCAGTGTTGCTACATAGCTTTTCAACACCTTCAGTCTGATTCTCTACTTCCGACTCCATTGATGACTCTACAGTGGTTGGATTCCCCCAAGGTTACTCAGCAGTCCCATTTGCAGCTAGTTCATTCTAATTTCTGATCTATAAAATAAAGTATTATTGCAACTTATGGAACAGAGAAAAGTTTTTATCAAGTATATTGACATGAGGTAAAATTCTGCTTACCAAGTTTCAAAATCCAGGTGGAATGCAAAATGCTGCTCAGACATTCATCTAAGCTAGTGGGAAGACTTTCACATAATTGTAAACCTTGTTTTCAGAGGCAATTTGCATAATAGAAACCTAAAAAATTGGAAGGAAACAATACGTAATGAGACAAAGTTTAAACACAAAACTGGCTGGTTCAATCTGCAAAATTCCTGATTTGTCTGGCAAACTCTAAGCATCTACTGATTTAACACTATTTCATTCAGAGAAGTATAATAGCACACAGAAGACACATAATAAGTACTGTAAAATACCATATACTGACACAATAAAAGTAACTGATAATTTTTTCCTTTGCTTTAATTATTATCAATTGCATGGAACAGAGATAATCGGTACAACAAACAAATCATAGATAAGGAGAAGTAATCGGCAGGATCTATTAAGAAATTTTGGAATACATCCATCTGGAGAATAGATCCAAAGATAAGGCAGTTTTACATTAAAGATAAATTGGCCATCACCATCTATTATTAAAGCATACTCATATTTAATCATATGCTGGACAAACACACGATTTTTTTTAAAAAAGCAACATTGCTGCTTAGTCCTTTTCCTAAAGTTGCATAAATTTTCTAGGCTTTTATGGTTAAAATATTGAATAAATTTGCTAGCATTTTACAGTTGGCACACTTTCAGCTAGCAAACAACATTATGAGTGAACCCCAAGGTTTTTCTTCCCCAATAATCCTTAGGCAAGACTTTTTGAAAAATGATTTCTTCATATTAAGCTTTGATGCAATGATCTTTTGTTCCCTTCATGATTCTTCATAGAACAGTCAAAGAATATTGTTAACTTGGGCTATCATAAACTTGAGCCGATCATAAAAAAATAACTAATTTTAGTTCTAAAGTCCTCATCAAAGTCTATTTAGGCATATAAACAAACACGTGGTATGCAAACCAAACATTGGTATTTTTTTTTTGATTAACTCCGCCTCATAAACAGGGGTGTTTTCACTCATATTTCAGGAATTCACCATAAAAAAAATTGTACTACAAGGTCCAAAAAGTTACCACAGCACAGATTTAGCAACTAAAGCTCCGTATCAGAAACTAAGCAACATAAAAATTGCAGATAATTCAATTCCAAATACGTGTGATTACTTAATAACCAAAAAAGTTCATGATGCAATCAATCAAATTTAGCCACCGTCGGATTACATATGATTCCTGACATTTTGGCATCGATTTTAGTTGTCCATATCATTTACATTAAGTTCTTCGTTTGTTTCAAGAAGTCCTGCCTAAGGATTATTGAAAAGGAAAACCTTAGTGTTCAATCTTCATGTTGTTTGCACAACCTGATAAGCTAGTACTTCAATAAATGAATAACATTTCTCTTGAACATCAAGAGCTTGGTGGTACAGATGAATCTCATCATAGCATTATAACGCGTATGTGCAACATAACCCGTTAATGACATAAAATAAGACATCTTATACACACGAAATTAGTCAACCTAATACAACATATAATCAGTTTCAATTTATGTTTTTTTTTCAGTACACTAAACATACAAGTGTAGCACCGGCGGTTTTAAACGAATATCTTCACATCCATCAAAATTGTGCAAAGAATTAACTTACTTTAGTTAAATCGAGGGGAAAAGAAACAATATAACAAAAAGGAAAGACTAACCCTTTATTTTCTTCCAAGAACAAAAGTGGCATTCGTTGCCTTCTCCTTCAATTAAAAAAATAGAGGTTGAATCCCAGTTTTTCTCCCCCCACCAAAAGTCAATTCGTTATTGCTAGCCTGCTTGCTTCTCCTTCAATCGGAAAACTTCCTAGAGCCGCCGGTTTCACAGGCAAAAGCACAGCTCCGATGATATTCTTGAACGCCGTCCGATTGAAGAACAACATATTTGGGAGGAGAAAAAAGGACAAAACCCATTGACTTCAAATTCCACAATCTAGGCAATATTAAATAAAACGATTCTTCATCATCCCACTAAGACGAAGAAATCGAATTAGAAAATTGAAAAATGGAGGAACAAAGTTCACGCCTCTGCGAAGGGAGGGGTTTGGACAGAGGAAACCTGCAACGGAAGATGGGACTATTGAACAAACGGGGTGGAAAACGACAAAAAAGAAGCAGGTCTAATAAGTGAAGTACACATAGTCTATTATGACTGTCAACTTGAGGACTGAGATATGACCGGCAACCGAAAGAGAAAGTGAGGCAGACGAAGCGAACGACCAACATGGATGAGAAGCGGTCAAATAGGATGGCACCACGTCAGCAAATAAAGCGGGTAACTGGCATGAAACCGAGTCACAAAAGCGGATCCCCTCTTTATATTAAGTAGATTTTGATCACCAAATTTATTATTAACCTTAATCATTTTGACAAACATCATATATGAAACACTATCCATTTTTATTTGTCTTAGGTTTCACCTAATATGTATTTTTGATTAACAAGAAAATCTTAAAAATATATTTTTACATTCGTCGTGTTCTCTTGATTGTTATGAAATATTTTTAAGATTTTTTTGTCAATAAAAAATGCGCCCTAAGTGACACTTAGGACAAATCAAAATGACTTATAAGAGGAACGGGGGGAGTATTGATTAACCTTTTGTACTTTTTTAAAGAATCATGAACAATGATTGGTTAAAACGTAAAAGTTAAGGGGCAAACTGCAATAACCCGACCCACAAAATGAACTTCGACGCTTCTTCGAATTGGGACCAAAAATTGAATTAGATGTGCAAATGTGTTCAACTGTCAACTGACCCTTGTGGTTTGATTAAGGAGGAGGAATGGGGAATTGGGTCTTAGTAGAACTGCAGAGAAACTCAAGCAACTGGGACAAAGTTGTCGGAGATATAGTGAGAATCGAGAAAAAGATTTTCCCTAAACATGAATCACTGGCCAGATTGTTCGATGAAGAACTGCGGAAAAGGAACAGTGGGTTGATTTACTCCCAGGTTGGTGGAGATGTAGCGGGCTATGTCATGTATTCTTGGCCCTCTTCACTTTATGCTTCTATCACCAAACTTGCAGGTTCTTTTCTTGCTCACAGTTTTTTTCCCTGCTTGTCTCTGGTATCATCAGTAATTGCATCAATCTGAATCTGTTTTTTGTTTGAATTCGATTTTGATGAAAGAAGCAAGAATTGTGCCGATTAAAGAAGAAATTCCTGTTTACGACATGGAATTAAACACATCCTTTCCGTTATGGGCAGTTTCTGCTGGAAAATTGATTAGGGAAATAGGAGAATAAGCCCATTGGAAGTTGGTTAATAAATATGTATTCTTGATTTTAGATGCTTTCTGTTGTTATTTGTTAAGGCTAAAAATGGTGTCTTTAAGCTGGCTGGTAGTTCATGTGCAATGTCAAATTTGTTTGAACAAAATTTCGAACTAGGAGTCGAAGTTCCCAAAGTGGGGGTAATATGTTGGCAATTCATTTTTTTACTTGAGGAGACTAGAGATGATGTAAAGGCTTCAAAAAATGACTGATGAGTAAAGACCGTGGAATTGGAAGAAATTGACTGAAAGCTACGTTTTAACTAAACCTACTGGAAATTTTCAGTTGGATGGTGTGTTTTTGTCTTGAAGTAATAAATTTCTATCTCGTCTTAGCTTGATTCTTCCTTGACAGCAATTTGGAATAGTGTGGATGGTGGAATGCATTTCTTTTGGATCTTTCTCTTCAGAAAAGTGTGTTCCCTCTAATAGAATGAAGGCTTTCTCTTAGGCAGAAATCAGAATGGGTACTTTTTGTTCTTTCTGACCTCAATCTCACCTTGTTTTCTGTAAATGTCTGTGATTTCATCATTACTTGATATCTGAGCATTTGATTTGGAATACAGAATACTTAATTATGTTGTCTTCTTGCACTTTCTCTTATTGGAAACAAATTAGTCAAGGACAATCACAGAAGACAAGGCCTTGGTGAAGCATTACTGAAGGCAGCAATCCAGAAATGTAGAAGCAGAAACATCCAGCGGATATCGCTTCATGTTGATCCAGAAAGACAAGCAGCTATGAACCTCTACCACAAATCAGGATTTAAAGAAGACACGCTAGTAGAAGGATATTATTCTCCCGACCGAAATGCCTTCCGAATGTACCTAGAATTTGACAAAAGTTAGCTTGGATTTCAGGTCAGCTTGAAGTTCACTTATCTCTTACTTCGTCTCTGACCCAAAGACATTAACAGCCATGAAGTTACGTATACTGGAAGCTGGAATTCACAGAGGATGCAAATGAGGGAATATTATTAGTGTTCAGATTGAAATACATAACCGCATGAACCTCGATCTAGATTCTGAGTTTGTGGCCTTTATTAGCCTAATGTTGAGTTTACTAGAAGTGAACAGACATGCTTTCAAATGGTTGATTGTTTGCCTGAATTTTCCCCTCAATGTGATGATTTCTGCACTTGCAGAAGCCTATATTCTTTTTCATAGTTTTAGTCTCCCTTTGCCGTTTCAATTCAATCATTCATTTCCAACGTAGGATTGGTTGCCTATTGATGATGTATTCACAACAAAACCAACCTCACAGAAGTTGGAGAGAACACAAAAAACCAGATTAGATTTTCTGAAGGGAGCATGTTTTTGCAAAGGCAAACTAATATTTCGCCCTCTATTTGTATCTACATTTTGCCTCCACTGATTTTGTGATGTGACCATTTATGAGCAAGGACCGAAAAAAAAAAAAGAAACTAAAAAAGCAAAATCAAACACATATTGTTGAGGACAAAAAGAATATTTTTGTTCAAGTGTCACGTGATAATTATAATCAATCTCGAGTGCCAAAAGTGCTTTGTTTCGTGAGTCGGAAGAGTCGTTCGTACATAAGTCTACACTTGTTTACCGTAAAAAGGCACCAAAGGGTCGCCTTTCATCAGCATTACAGTACTGACTACTGATTTACAATTTTAAGAAATTTAAAAGGTGATCACAGTATCAAAGTGACATTTTCATGTAAATAGCCAAAAATCTTGTTTTTTTTCCCAATGTTAAAGGTCAAGCGCGACACTTTTACTCAAACATATGGGCCAAACTTGATTTCTTCAGCCCAAATATAAACTACTAGCCCACTAAATTTTGGGTTAACCGAAAAATCTTTCCTTCATCTTCAACACTGAAGGCAGTAGAGAGCCAGTTGAATTGAAATGTCAAGAAAGTAGAGCAAAGAAGACGGAAAATCGGCGTCGGAGAAGGAAGCAAAACCGGAAAAAGCTTCGGAAATCCGGCGGCGTTTAAGTCTTAAGAAAATCACTGGTAAGTTACATTTCTTTTCATCTCAAGTTTGAAAATTCGACACTGAAATTTGTTCACAGAAGTGAAAAATGAGTATGAATACGCCTGTAGTAATGGTTTCTTTCTTGTGAGCTTTACTTACTCGCGGCTGATATGGTTTGAACCTTATGCAAGATTACCTAGTGATAATGTGAATTCGGAGTTTTTTTTTAGAATTTTTTTTTTTTATTTTAATGAATGTTCTACAAGCAGCGAAGTCTTATTTGATTCCGCATTTTCTTGTTATCCGCAGGTGTTCTGCCTGAACTTCCAAACTCTTGTGAGGTGATTTTGAGTTGATTTATTCGAGGATAATGCTGGCAAAATTCATGTGTCAATTGAATTCCTGAGTAATCCTGCGAGACATAAGGTTGCAGAATCACAGAGGTACGTTGTTGTAAATTTAGCTTCGATTCCAGTAGCTTTGAATTGGTTGGTGATTTTCAATTCTGATGCTCCAATTGCTAAACACTAGTTTGGGGTGGTATTCATAATCTGTGGGACAATGCAAATTGAATGTCAGTGTTTGGCTGATTCTTAAGGACCAAAATTAAGGACCTTTAAGCAAGTATATTATAGATGCTTTATCCATTTACAGCCTGCTGTATATTCAGTTTTTATTAACCATTATTACCATTTAATTAGGAGTATACAGCCTGCTGTATACTCCTATTCAGTTCATATGTTCCATGCATATAATGTACTTGCTGAGGCTTTGTGGGATATTCTAAGTTTCTGATGGTGTGTTAGTGTTTATAAGAAAAAGTGAAGAAGGCCTGATGTTCTCCCCCATTTTTGAAAAACAGCCATCAAAGGTATATTTGTAAGTTTATTTCAAACAGACAGCTTCTTGGATTGTGAAGCAGCATGTGATATGGTAGTTACCAATAATTCCACCTATGTTTTCTTGAACTCAGAAAAGCTTACCATCTCATCTACTCTGCCTGAAGGTTGTCCACATGAAATTTTTCGCTGAAGTGCTGAATAGAAATCATATGACCGCTTAAGTTAGTTGTTGTCCAGAGTCGTTGAGTGCAGTTCTGATAAAGTCAGGGTTTGGACTTTTTGATGTACAAAGGTGAAAACCACAAGTTTTGTTTGAGATCAAATGAATTGACTATTTACCTTTAAGAAAACATATTATAGCTACCAAAATTATTTACTTGGTTGTCTCCTGGTTCTTTTACTTCGATTACTTTTGATCTTTCAAAATTTTCATATAGTTAAAAAGTCGCGGGAGTGGTATTCTACATTTTGTATCTAACATAAGTACAGTTCTTGAAGTAACAAAACCCAAGTTTATTCTTTTCATCTACCGCACTCCTTTAAAACTGAGAGTAAAATTGTGGTCTGTGACTCTATGTCATTACGCTTTTGCGTTTTATTTAGATAAAGGTCTTGCAGTCTGTGTTACAAGGGTACCAATTTATCTCAGTACTACAGTACATACCTAATCAAAATGTACTTTGCTTTCTAGTGAACTTTTCATTTTTATAGCAATCAGTTTTCTGTGCAATGGTGTGTAATTATTCATATTATGAAACAACACCATCAATGTAACATTTTAAATGAATTTATCTATTTTAACCTCTTTGGGTAAGCAATTTTATCCATCTCAAATACTCTTGAAAACTTTTATATTTCTTAATATTTTATTTTTAGTTTGCAGTGAAATGGAGGCATTCTGGTTCCCTACTGAATCCCATTTCAGATCCACTCTCTCTTCCCATAAATTCCATCTTAGCTCACTTCCTTCAAATCCTCTGAGTCATTTCAACCAGCCAAGAATCAAACTCCCAGAAAGCAAGAGATTACCATCAATATCATCAAGAATCACAACGCCTTCACCAAGAAACCGCCTCAGTTACAAGCATAATCCAGCTTCCAAGAGTAAAAAATTCTCGGAGAAAGATGCATTTCCCGGTCGCATACCAATCCAAAACCGAAACCCAAAATTCATATATAGAGATATTCAAAATTTCGCCGACCAGAATAAGCTTAAAGAAGCTCTTACCATATTGGATTACTTAGATCACTCCGGCGTTCCAGTAAATTCCACCACATTTTCTCATCTCATTGCCGCTTGTGTTCGGCTAAAGGCTCTCAAGGAAGGTAAAGTTGTGCATGCCCATGTAAGAAATAATGGGCTGCTAAATAATGAGTTCTTACAAACAAAACTTGTACATATGTATTCAGCATGTGGGTCAATTGGAGATGCAAAACTTGTGTTTGATGAAATGCCAGTTAAAAGTGTGTACCCGTGGAATGCATTACTCAGGGGCAATGTCATGTTGGGTGGACGTAAATATCGTGAAGTTTTGAGGACATTTTCGGAAATGAGGGAGTTAGGGGTGGAATTGAATGTGTACAGTTTCTCTTGCTTGATCAAGAGTTTTGCAGGGGCAAGTGCGCTTCATCAGGGTGTGAAAACTCATGGATTACTGATAAAAAATGGGTTGATGAATAGTAACATGCTGAAGACAAGCTTGATTGATTTGTACTTCAAATGTGGCAAGATTAAGCTAGCTTTACGGGTCTTTGAGGAGGTGGAAGAGAGGGACGTGGTTGTTTGGGGAGCAATGATTGCAGGTTTTGCTCATAATCGGTTGCATAGGGAAGCATTGGATTATGTGAGGTTTATGAGAAGCGAAGGTGTGGGAGTAAATTCAGTTATATTAACTAGTATTCTACCTATCATCGGAGAAATAGGGTCTCGAAGACTTGGTCAGGAGATTCACGCTTATTCAATCAAGACTAAAGGTTATTCAAAACAGTTATTTGTGAAGTCTGGTTTAATCGATATGTATTGCAAATGTGGGGATATGATCTCAGGAAGAAAAGTCTTCTATTCGTCAAAAGAGAGGAATGCTGTTTCTTGGACTGCATTGATCTCCGGTTATGTATCAAATGGAAGACTTGATCAGGCTTTGAGATCTATCATTTGGATGCAACAAGAAGGTTTCAGACCGGATGTGGTCACAATTGCCACTGTTCTTCCTGTTATTGGAGAATTAAGGGCATTGAAACAAGGGAAGGAAATTCATGGGTTTGCTGTTAAGAATGGATTTTGGCTGGATGTTACCATTGCTACTTCACTAATGATGATGTACTCAAAAACTGGCCTCTTACGCTATTCTTATAGACTATTCAACAATCTACAGAACAAAAATGTGATATCATGGACTGCAATGATTGACTCATGCATTCGATGTGAAAGTATGCATGAAGCACTTCAAGTCTTTAGATCGATGCAGGGGTCCAAGCATATGCCGGATTCTGTTACAACTGCCAGGATGCTGAAGGTTTGTAGTGAATTGGGGGCCTTAAAACTGGGGAAAGAGATCCACGGACAGGTGTTAAAGAGAGATTTTTACTCCAGTCCTTTTGTCTCCTCAGAACTTGTGAAAATGTATGGTTGCTGTGAAGCAATTGATAAGGCAAAACTGTCTTTTGAAGCGATACCTGTCAAAGGATCTATGACTTGGACAGCCATTATTGTTGCATATAAACGAAATGGTCAGTATCAGGAAGCCATAGATCTATTTAAGCAGATGATCTCAAGGGGATTTTCTCCAAATCAGTATACTTTTCAAGTTATATTATGCATATGTGAGAAAGCTGGATTCGCGGATGACGCTTGCAAGTTTTTTGCTTTAATGACTCAGAAATACAAGATTCAGGCTTCTGAAGAAAATTACTGTAGTATTATACGCCTTCTTAGTAGCACGGGTTGTGTGAAAGCAGCTGAAAAATATACGAAATTGAAAGCATCTTTGTCACCATAATCATGTGTGTGATGCATTCTTGGAGTAAATACGCTGCGGGTTTGGATTATTCTTCTTAGGTAAGGTCACATATGAGAGGAGTTGATGTGCCCCTGGTGGAACAAGAGGTGCAATAGGTTGACTGATTCTTCTATGTTAATAAGGTATTGTTAGAAGTTTATGAGAATTTGTGACGTCGGTTTGGCTAAAGATCTGAATGACATCATGCCAGTGCAAAGCTGCACGAATGTATATACACTTAACTAAAATATACATATGTAATGTAACATCGCAGTTGCATTATTCAGTGAATATATAGTCCACTGATCATTTGTATTCTTCTAACCTATTTTCAGTTCGTAAGTAAATATGGCTTCCTATTTTTGCATCAACGTGTAGCTCTTTTAATTGGCTTCTTAGTTTCCTGCCACTCCACTTTTTTCATGGTTTCCTGGTTGGTCCAGGTACATAACTCGATGCTTATATTTTAAGCAGTCATTTGTGGACAACTGTGCATATGCATCTATGGGTTTTTTGAGGGTGGTTGCCCCTCTCTATGTCTTTCGACAAAGATCTAAAAAGATAGCCATTTCAACGAAGAACCCTTATAAGGTAAATTGCAAAACACTTCTTCTGATCCTTCTATTTGGTTTGGCAAAAAGGACATTGTCTCCTAACACTTACCATCCCCACTCTCTATCTCGCATATGAAGGCTCTCTATGTCTGCATTGTGCCTCTGTGAATCAAGGCATCTTTAACTGAAAGCATGGAGGTCTTTTATCAGCCATACGCTATTTCTGCTGAGGCAGATATTTCAGGCTGGTATTGGTTTCCCCTCCCCCTCCCCCATTCAGATTTCCGTGGCATTTTGTTGATTTATTGACACTTAAAGCAGTAAAAATGACAGTTTCAAACCCTCAAAATGATGCTAAGTTATTTCTGCTCCGAAAAGGGTTGTGTTAGTTTTTTCTTTGTTCTTATGTTTGTAGTCTCTAGTTTCAACCGCAGGTTTTTCTTTTTAGTGATTTCTTTTGTTTAGTTGATCTCAAATTGTCCTTGATCTTCAAGTAGAATTTTTCTGGCAGTGATCTTTCTTGGGGGAAATCAAGAAGCACTGGATTACATGAAGGCTTTGGGAAGGCACGATTGTGTAACTTGGTCACTGTTTTGGCTGATTCCCAAAAGTGTGTGTCAAATTCTCCATCTTCACCACTTCAAATGTCTTTTGGTCTAACGGACACTACAGTTTAGTTGCTCACTTAGCTGCTCAAAATGGAAAATGAAATATGGAAATGAGCAACCAGATCAGCTCGAAGAGATGAATATTCAAACTGTTTGAGACTACTTGTTTGACCAGTTCAAACTGTGCATGAAAACTTGAACATGACTTTTCAGTTTGTTCATAAAACAAGTCAAAGGACTATACAGATTACAGAGTGGTCTACCAAATATTAGATGGCTCCTGGGAAAACACTTCAGAGGACCAAAACTTCCAACACAAACAGAAGTATTAGCACCAAAGAGAAAGGAATCCCAACCATTCAAAGAATTTCCATACATGTGGTGCCTCGTTATATAACGGCTCCCATACCTCCAAAGCTTTCTCCCGGATTTCATCGTTGTCGTGGCTCTGCAAGGCTTCAATTTTATCCAAGCCTTGTTGAGCTTCATATATCAACTTGACGACGAAATTGAAGTCAGTCGTGCGTTTTACCCTCTGCACTACAAATGATTTCAAGCCCCTCCAGACAAACAATAACGCCTCGGATCAGGGTCCTCAAGCAGATCACATAAGGTCTCTATGAAGTCCTACAAACCCGCAACACTGCCACTAGTTCGACCAGAGATAACATTTACAAAAGCCTGCACAACTTCTTTCTTTATAGCAAACTCAGCAGTTTCTAGCAAATCAATTAAAGATTCAATCAATTCACCAACATCAATCGCTGCCTGTCTCCAACGCTCATCTCTTGCGATGTTACTGACAGTTCGAATTGCAGGAATTTGCACACAAGCCGATGGGTGTCTGACAGAATGCAGTTGTTATTATATCAGAAATCAATTGAACAAGAAGAACGAAGCAAAAACTATCCAGCAAATGAAACCTACTTGAGTAGCTCCACAAGTCGTGGACAGACACCGGCCTCCATTATAGCTTCGACTCCATCATTTGAACCGTCAGAAAGATATGACAGAGCCCAACATGCAGATGAGAGCACATGATCATTTGCCGTCCCTCTCTCTTTGTTTGCCATCCCTCTTCGGAGTCCATCGGCTCCAACCGCTTCCGCTTATTCTTACCCTTTTGGATATAAACCATTTGATCGTCCATCCTCCGCCGACGGCTATTTTTCAGGGATTTGGCATTTGGAGGTTTAACTGGTTAGAGTTAACTTGCCTAGTAGCGGGCTGATTTTGGATTCTGGATCTTGGATCAATAGGTCAGAGTTGTGATTCCCTGGCAATATTATTTCATTATTATATTTGATGATAACTTAGTAATGTCAAATTCTAGAGAATCACCGGAATCTAGGGTTTCGGAACGGAAGGAAAAAGCAGCAGCACCTGATTCATCGGTCAATTACAGGTCAGGCTGCAGACTTCCAGATCAACAACAATCTGTTCCGATGGAGAAGCAGCAATATGTATGTGTTGGGAGGGAAAAGAGTGATTAGGCCTCTTCCGCCGGAAATATTTCAACAAGATCGGTTCCGAGGACGACAACTACCGACCAGCAAAGAAGAGGCCCTGCAAACTTGCTTGCAGTTTGCGGTATCACATGTAACCTATCACTAGTCACACAATTTGCGAATACCGTCGTAAATCCTGGGAGGAGAATGGAGTAGCATTGAAGAGCACCCTCTTCAATCCAGATTGAGATGAGCACCCTCCTGAGCAAACTTTTACTCGCAAGGAGGAACGAGGAGGATCGCCCTCGCCCTGTTCGTTTTCTGACTGTTTCTTGATCGTGTAGAATATTATGCTGCCGTGAAGGTGTTGTTTCTTTAAGCTCCTTCGGTCCTTCTTGTGTATGAACCTACATGTTGCTATTTTAATACCTGATGATTGTGATTGTTTTTGGCTTATCACTGGGTTTGTGAATTGTGATAGCTCATGCCTCTGCTTAGGCTCGGCTAGGACAATATGCAGTGATTGGAAGCAGTAACAATGAATTGTACTCTTATTGAGTCATACTTTTGGATGATTCACTTCACGTTGAATTATGCTTTATTCTATTAGGTCAAAATATCTTGAGTTCGATCCACCCCCCTTGAAAGGAACCACTTGATGAAAGCAAAATCCTACCTTGTGCGAGGGTTGAAATGAAAACTGTAAATACATTCCTATGAATAATATTCATCCTTTCTGCAACCGTGGAGTGTTTTCATAAGACTTGACTAGTACCTTCAGCTTTGGCAATGCGGAGAATGATAATTTTGCTCTACTAAGAACAGCATCTAATATCCTAGGTGATATATCTCCAATCCGTCTCAAGTGATCAAGAGCCAGTTCCACCTCCCCAACCTCAGCTAAATAATTCAGAAAGGTCAGACGAACATCTACTAAATTTCCCAAATCAGCGGTTTTTTCGCTCATGAGTAAATTAGAGGCAGCTGGAAATAATCCATGTCTGCAAAGGTTTGTGATGAATGCACTCACAATTTCGTTTCCAAGCTTGGCATCTTGTTCAACACACCTATAAAAAACCTGCACAGCAGTATCAACCTGTTTAGCTTGACAGAGTCCGGCAAGAAGGGATGCATATATACTCTCATCAGGCAACAACCCTCTATCCATCATCTGGCAGAACAGTTTGTGAGCCTCGCTAATCTCCCCTGTTTCCAAAAACTTGTGAATCAAGATAGAGTAGGACTCCAAATTCCCTTTGCATCCATTCGTAAACATCTCATCCCACAATCTTTTTGCAGGGCGAATCAAGTCATCCCGACAACAGGCTTGTAGGAGAGTGTTGTAACTGGAAATATCTGGTGGCAGACCTTTCCTCTTCATCTCATGAAGGGCATCGTAGGCTTCCCTCAACCTTCCTGCCTTGCACAACATGGTAAGTTTTAGGTTGTAAGTTAGTGAATCTACGAAGTAATTGTGATTCGTGGAGAGATCCTCAAAAATGTCGACCAATTCATTTACCATACCATGTCCGCAAAGATTCTCACTCAAAACAGAGAGAACGGGCAGCGTTAATGAGAGCATTTTCTTTTCCCCTTTTTGTTGAATTTGAAGCATCATGTACTTCAGGAAGGATACTGCAGAACACGGGTCGATAGGCGATACGGAGGATATTAGGGCACCAAGAACATCATCCTCAATGGGGAAGTTGCCACTCACAATGAGTTGACCTAATTCATTTGCTTCAGTTACAAGTCTTTCTCCAATCAAAGCAAAGATGAATTCCTTATAATCATCAGCCCGGGGTGCCACCCCTAACTTGCGCTTCTTTTTCAGTGCATTGGTAACATCAACTGTGCACCCTGTCGTCTCCCGGAACGCTTCAGCTACTATCCTATAAGCTATGAAGTCCGGTTTACACCCTCTTGTTCTTAGCTCATCCAGCATTGGCGTAGCTTCCCAGGGTCTCTTATTGGGTCCCGAACAAAGCCCGTGAGCAACTAAAACTGCAATTATGGAGCCGTTGATCCCGGAGGCATCACCGTTATTTATAACATCATCTAACGACTGCAGAATCTGGGACCCAGCGTGATCAGCATATCTGCATAGTTTCCACAGAAACACCCCAAAACCAAGTGTTGTTAAGGGAATACCTCTCTGAAGCATTTCGACGAACACTGTATGGGCGTCCTTAAGATTCCCTTCGGCAGACAGAGCCGCCAGGAGAGAATTACACGTGGATAACCCAATGCATGAAATTGCATCACGAATTCGGAGGAACACCGAGAACGCGAGGTGGGTTTTCCTACCGGAGATGAGGGTGGAGAGAACGGGGCCGTATACGGACGGGTGGATGCTCTGGATGTTGCCGCCGTTATACTGCTTCAAGAGCTTCTCCAAATGGTTGAATTGGCGGGAAAAGCAGAGAGACTTGAGGATGGAATTGTAGGAGGCGGAAGTGTGGGAGAAGCCCGGCTGTTGAGCAGCCCAATTGAAGAAGCCCAAAGCTAAAGAGTGGTGGTGGAGGAGGTGTGGGTCAATGACTCCGGCAACGAGCGTTGGGGTCAGTGAATCCGTGCAACCGCGGAGCTGTTGGTGCAGGATTTGCTCCAGGGCCGGACCCCATTTCCTCAATGATGATGATGGACCTTGTGTTCGGTGGTGGTGGTGGTGGGATGCGGCTGAAATCAGTGCTCTGGCTAACTCTCCGGCCGCCCAGCTTTTCCTCATCTGTAACATTTAACGGCGAGGGATCCTCCCCCAGATTGAAAACGGTTGCGGTCCTCAGGTAATGAACCCTTTCTTAATCCCAATTGTTTTCTTTTACCAGTTCAACTCTTAATAGTTTTATATACAAAAAAAAAAAAAAATCTTAATAGTAAAATCGACTCTTCTTGTGTTTTAAACTTTTAATCTCTTTGACAGGAGTAATTATGAGGGGATTCTAGCAAGCAGAGAACATGTACTTCTTACGTGGTGGATTTTCTGGAGTTTATGCAAATAAGGACATAACGAAGGGGACCTTGTTATGAAGGCCTTTTAATTTAGGATCCAAGATTCATCAAAGAATAAAAAATTACTCCCTCTGCCTCTGTCCTAAAAATTATTGAAATTTTTATTTTGTGGTTCAATTTGTATTTATTTCAAACTGAACAATAATTTCGGAACGGAATGAGTATTAAATAAGAGACTTATTGAATTACTTTGAATAGTTTGTCTTCCAAAGTTCATAACTTCTGCAATATCTAGTGTGTATTCACAAGTCACAAGGTTTCCAAATTCATCGGCGCAGTGGAGCTTCTGATAGGGAGGACACTAGCCCGGAGAAGAATTTTAGCAGATTCGTCCAAAACTCAGAATGGAAAGCGGGATTTCCACGTAATGCACAGTCTATTGGTGATCAATGCCAAGGATTGCATCATTAGGATGACGGATGTTGGAGACAATTGTGTGGATCATTGCAGTGAAGTAATAGCGGCAAAAGTTGCTTTATCTACCTTCATTAAGTTATGTTGTGGATGGTGAATTGAAATGTACTATATATTTAAGAGGATGATTTTGTTGGCCCTTTTAAGCCTAGCGGGCAACAAAACTGGAACCGATCAACTGTAACATATTAACATAATGTTGTTTGTGATCCAGAGGGCATCATTAATCAGAAACATATCCAAATTACTACTCTTCTTTTCAATACAATAATGCTTCATTGCTAATACAGCTCTGCTCAGTTTCTCTTTTACCAATCAATTCTTGAATAATACTACATGATCCCTTCAGCACGTTAGCTAGGAATTGGACCAAAGGCACCTCTGTTTGATATTGGAAATCTGTCTTTTCTCATTTCTATGGACTACGGTATCAGCAGAAACTAGTTCTATGTTACCACGTCCCAAATCAAAGAGTCCGTTAGAAGCGCTTGTGCTATCTATAAATGTACCTCAATGCCCTTACGGGAAGATTCCTCAGAGCTTTGGGTACCTTACCAGAATGGAAGAATAGTCTTGCATTTACATAACAACTTCATTGGACCTTTTACAGCCGTTCATAATTTTATTGATATTTTTGCCATACACTATTCACAACACTTATTATTTTGTTCTTTCATATAGTAAGGTGTGTTTTTTTTTTTTTTTGTGGGAGGGGATAGCGAAAGTCCCTTACACTTATTACTTTGTTCTTTCATACAATAAGGTGTGTTATTTTTTTAAAAAAAATATAATAATTAATTAAAAAAAAAAAAGAAATACTGGCAGGGGAAAGTGCAAAACCCCTTTGAAAGGGGGCAAAAATGTTGCTGCCCAGGATCGAACTGGGGACCTTCAGTGTGTAAGACTGACGTGATAACCACTACACCACAGCAACCGCTTGTTATAAATCCCAAATATTGTTAATAAATATCTGAAAGCGGAAAGCCGTTGACGTCTTGACGACAACTTTGTCACATTGACGTTCCGTTGGATTCGAATCTTTTGGCTTAAATCTCGGAGAGAATTTAGTTTGAAGAATTTTGCGATCAAAAGATTCATAATTCAAAACACATAACAAATTATTTACAAGAAGAATCCAGATTGGAGCTTAACCCTAGCTCCTTTGATATTAATCCAGAGTTAGGGTTTTGCAGATATCTTCTGAGATTTTGTAAAAATTGATAAAATTAATTCTTGAAAATTTGGGATCCCTGAGCAATGGGACGAATGGCGCGGAGTTGCCTGCAATCGATTCTGAAAATAGTGAATTCGGGAATCGGGATGGTTGGGATGGCCATGATTTTATACTCCCTCTGGATGTTCAGGGTTTGGCAAAGGCAAATGGCCCCAGAGGCCCCTGCCCCTTGGTAATTCTTTTATCCTCTGTTTCAATTTCTTTTCTTGGAGAACTCCTTTATTCTGATCAGTTATTGTCTGTTTATGTCTTCGCGATTTGATTATTAGCATTGTCTTCAGCATTTAAATTTTTTTGCGTATAGAATTCTATTTTTTTGGCATGGCTCTGTAGTTGTGTATGTGGAGGGGATGGGCGAAAGGGGTTTAACGACAGGGTTTTTTTTTTCCCGAACTGTAGTATTAATTACAAAAGGAGTGGGGAAATCCTTTATCTGATATTGGTGGTGGGCTCCTTTTTGGGGAGGTGATTTTTCCTTTTCATGACTGGTAAAGATTGTGCTTGCTTTTGGTCGTTCAGAAAGTTCCCGTGCTTCTTTTTGCAGCCGGGAGCACGACCTGTGGGTCTCTCATTTATCATTGTGTTTCATCTACAGGTTTTGGCTCTCTAAAATACCCAAGGTTTTGCATAAAGACAGGATTTTGACTTACAGAAATGATTCTGGTCTAGTTACGTTCTTGTGCTAATGACTGGGTTTTCCTTTTTTGTGTATGCAAGCTTTGAAATTAGTACTCAAAATAAGAGGGTTTTTTTTTGGTTGGAAACACAAAATAAGAATATTCATTTTGCTCAATTGAGTGTTGTTGTTTCCTCATAAACTTATGCTTTCTGGCCAATTTTGAAACTAATAATTTGTGGGGGAACTGGATGCTTTCCAGCCCCATACATCTGTTTTCAATATTCTCAGGTATTTGATTTGACTAGAAATATCATTGATCTTCATTGAGTATTAATATTGAATTCGCAGCTAAACCTTTTTTGTATTTTCAACGCAGGTTCATATACTCTTTTCTTGGTCTTGGCCTGACTCTATGTTTCGTCACATGCTCAGGACACATTGCAGCTGAGACTGCTAATGGCTGCTGTCTGTGTTTTGTATCCTTTCAGTGATTTGATTATATTACTGCAACAGCAGTCCGAGTCTCTTTAAGTTTTGCATAAGCTTTCTGATTGTTAGCAGTCATTTTTTCTCCTCATTACTTTGAAGTTCAAATTAATGCAGTGTTTTTTTAACCATAAATTAAGGGTAAACAAAATTGCAGACTGTATGTTTTTGTGGACTGGGTTTGTGATTTCTGCAAACTGTATGCTTGTGACTGCTTATAAGTTTCAAGTTAATTATGATATTTTTAACTTTTGCTAGCAGGGTTTTCTGGCTTTTGTATGCGAATGTGAAATTGGGCATCAGTGGAAGTAAAGACTAAAATTGTTATGTGAATGTTTGTTCTAACACCTTGATTGACCTTAACTCTATGAAGTATACTATGTTTGTCTTTCTGCTTATCATGATAGAGGCTGCTGTGACCATGGATGTGCTCCTAAACCGTAACTGGGAGGATGTAAGGCCTATATACTATCATTTTGTATTCATTTATAGAAGCTTTGCATTGGCTCAATTGAAGAGTAAGTGAATTTCTTGGATGCGGTTGTATGCCAGGATTTCCCAGATGATCCATCGGGTAATTTCAATGAGCTCAAAGATTTTATCAAACAAAATTTTGAAATCTGCAGATGGGTTGGCGTGATCGTAGTTGCTATCCAGGTACTCCTCTCTTTTCCCTCTTGTACACTTAGTCATAGACACACATGAGACATATGTGTAGCAAAATTGCTATGCTCTTTCATTTGGCCACTTTGTTTTAATCTTCTGTCACTTGTCTAGCGGAACCTATGCCTTCATACGCCATTGTAGAACTTCTACCTTTGGAGTAACACTACTACATTTTATCTTTGTGGCTCCTTTCTTTTGTATGCTTTAATTGTGTTAATTGCTCACGAAAGGGATAACTTGTGGTTCTTGGTTTTTAAGCTAACCTGACTTTGCTATGTCATTCTTTCGAACATTTTCTTGTTTAATGAGCAAGAGCAGTAGCTGCTTTTAAGGCAGTCATTGCACGCGTAGATTTCTCCCTTAGATATGTAAATTTTGCTAGTTGTTGATACTGGAGATTAATTAATTGTCTGCTATGTGGATTGGATATGTTTGATGATATTGAAATTGCTGGTTGTAATTAGATCCTAAAGATTTCCTGTGGTGATTTGTCTTTTTAAAAGATCGAAATTGTTGTTTCTTGAATTCATGCATGTTTCATTGCATTACAGCACTTACATTTATATCCCTGGCTTTTTCACATCCTCCACTTCATACATGTGGTAGTTTATGCTATTTGTGTGCCCTTTTGTTTCACCGCTTATATTTTTATATGCAGGGTCTAAGTGTGCTGCTTGCGATGATTCTTAAAGCTTTAGGACCACATCGTGAGAGGTACTACGAGAGTGATGATGATTACAGCCCAGATAGAGTTCCACTCTTGAAGCATTATGCTCCTCAACCTTCTTATGTTGTTGGTGATCCTCTCCATCCCTCAAAGAGTGATGCTTGGAACATCAGGATCAATAGTAAGGGGAGATGAAAGAGTCTGATTTGGAGAGTGTAAGTATCTTTTAAGTTGAGGTTTATACAGCGGGTCCTGTTTCTGATTCTCATTACATGCATATATGTTCGATTATGTTTTGTTCTATTTTTTTCTTTCATTTATTCGTTCATGTGTTCATGGCTGGTTTTCATGTCATTGCTGTAGTACAATGTGTAACTGTTGCCTCCCTCCCTCTCTGTATGCATTGGCATCTTAAGAGAAGATTTCAACTTAACATTTTATTGTTGAATTTATATCTCTAATTTGTGCATAATTATGCCAAGAGTCCACACATTCAGCCCGAACGTTCCAATTTTGCTAAGTGTATTCCTTGTTGATGTTCATTCCTAGTATTTTTTAACACTCTAATCCATAAAACATGGCTAGCAATGACTATTTCATGTTAGTGATAATGATGTCTCAGATATTCTCCATTGTTTTCAGGCAAACAAGAGAAGCTTCTCTTCTTGAAAGATGGTGAAGCGACAGTTTGTGCATCTTCGGGAACAGGTCAAGGAATTAGCATGGTTAAACTGGGTCAAGGAATTACCATATATGTATGGAAAGAGTTAGTTATGGTGGTGATAGGCAACTGTTTTATCACATTCCTCTCAGTTTATATACATGGCTTCGTTTCAAATGGCTGGAACTGGAATCTCGCCAGTTGCAAATATGTATCAAACAATATCGAAATATGTATAGGTAGATTATCTCTTGTACCTGAAAGCTTGACCGAAGTGCCATTTTGTAATTTGTATCCGATTGAATTGGGGTAGACTAACAAAGACCGGTTCCGGTTTAGGTGGATGTACATTTGGTTAAACTGAAGTACTAGTTTAAAGCTAGTTTTGCGTATGTCATTGCCATAGAAGTCTAATTTGTTGATATTGGCGAGTGGGGGGCGATGTGGAATGCAATGCCTGGATTATTTACTAATACATCTCTTTACTTGATTGTGAACATTCTAAAAGGCTTAAATGGCACATTTCTCCATCCTCAATTTTTTTTTTTTTTTGAAGTGGTACATCAATTTCTTTTGAGTGCACTGGATTTTGATCCACAGAGGAGATGAATTAGGAATCTCGTGCATCCCCGAATTCATTGGCAAGGCAAGAAGTTCACTTGTTGTGGTGATTAGTATAATCAATTGAAAACGGAAAAAAAAATGAGAAGAAAATAAGAAAACAACATTTAACGAATATGAAATTTGAAGTGGCGTGTGCGTTTGACTTCAATGAAGCCTACGCCATATATTGATCCACAATATGCCCCCCATATTTCTTTCTCTTCAATTACAACCAAACTATTCTGCCGATATCTTCAACCACAATGAAGAACTCCTCAAACTCAGGCAGCCCAATGGGATTGGTGTTTGCAATATTTAGTAAGTTATTTTTGTCTTCCTTGATCTCGGTTTTGTTCTTAGTTATTTTGAAATGGGTCGAACTGTTGAACACCCTTATTATTTCATTTGAGCGCCCGCGAAAGATCGACACGTGCCTGCAAAATGGAGGTAAGTTTTTTTTTTTCCGAAAAAGGGGGAGGCGAGGGAGGACCTTGCCAGCCATTAACGGCTGGCGGAGGAGAAACACGCCACCCCTATGGGGGTGGCGTGCAATAAACTCGCCTCCCTTTACAAGGAGGCGAGACGACCTTCGCCATCAGCGAAGGTGGTGGCGCCAGATTTGGCGCCACCTTTGTCCGGGTTGGCGAGCAAATGCTCGCCAACCACCCGTTTGGGCGCCACCTATTTTTTTTATTTAATTTTTTTTTTTAATTTTTTAATATGTTTAATATTTATTAGTTTAATAAATATTATTATTAGTTTAATAAATTTAATTAATTCATGTATTTATTTTATTTGAGTATTTGTTTGGTAGTTTAATATTTGTTTAGAAAATTAAGATTTATGTTAATTAGGGTTTATGATATTTAGAGAATGTTTTTTAATTACGTATGTTGTTTATAGGTTGTAGTTGTTATATTAAATGAGTTAATATCTTGTTAATAATGTATTTAAATTGTTCTATGTTTTAATTATGTTAATTATGTAGTATGTTCGTATCTTGTTAAATGGGTGTTTAGGTAGTATGTTAATGGGTATAGTTGTTAGGGTTTAGGATTTTTGTTAAAATAATGAGTTTTTGTTAATAATGTATTTAATTTGTTATTAGTATATATTAATTATCTTTAAAGTATAAGATCATTATATCGGATTATATATTTTGTTTTTTGCTCATAGAAAATTATTTGTGGTTTAATATTATTAGAGTTAATTTAAATTATGATATAATTCGTTTTTAATGTGTGCATGATAGGTTTGATCAGGGGGATGGAGTCGAGTATAGTCCGGCTTTTGCTACAGACGAGACTTTTGCGACGAAGAAGGAAGCTGTTGCATATGCGAAGGGTATTGCGAACATCTATAATATGGAGTTAAGTGTATCCTCGCACAAGGATAATAGTACTATACTCCTTTGTCATAAAGGAGGGCGGTACCTAGATCAACAGGTGGATGATAACGTGCGCGCTCGAGTTAATACAAAGACACAGATGACCGGATGCCAGTTTCGCGTTACTATTCACAAGATATATGATAAGTGGCCGATCCGTGTATATCCAGGTCCGTGGGGAATGCACAACCATTCATTGAAAGATCCACCTCGAGTCAAGAGGCTATTGAGTGTAGAAGTGAAAGAGCTTATTAAGGAGTACTCTAAAGTTGAGACTAAGGCCGTCCATATTTTACGGGCGATATGGACACAATTTCCTGATGAAAAGGTTACCTCCAAACAAGTCTACAACTACAGAAATCATTTGCGTAAGGCGGGATTTCCAATTCTAGATGACCTGGCAGTCATGGACGTCGTGGGAAAGGTGTTAGAGGTCGCAGAACAACACAAATACATCATCTTCACAGAGTGCGATGAAGAGACATAGAGGTTATCCCACGTGTTTTTCGCAAATCCGGATTCTTTGTTGTTGTTGCGCACGTATCCTTGGGTTGTTTGTGTAGATTCTACATACAATACAAACAAATATAAACTGCCTCTGTGGAGTTTGTTGGAATGACCCCTTGCAATCAGACATTCCTTATAGCATATGCTCTTCTAAGTGATGAGACAGGGAACAACTACCATTGGGTGCTGTGGTAGCTCCGTAACTTGTATGGCGATGATCTGCATCCGAATGTCATCGTAACTGATCGGGAGCCTGGACTGATGAGGCCTCTTAATGATGTATTTCCATCATCACATCACTTGTTGTCTACGTGGCACGTTTATAGAGATGTTGAAAAAAATGTGAAAAGAATTTTGAACGGAAATGCCCATGTAGCAAAAAGTTTCACGTATAATGCCTTCAAAATAGTGATCGAAGCTGCAAATCGGGAAGAATACGAAGAAAAGGTACAGTTTCTGGAGCATAATTGGTCCCAATTTCAGCCCGTACTAGAGATGTTAGGAAGACATGGTTAGTGGTGGCGGACAAGTTTGTGCATGCATGGACCAGCACTTATTTGCATCTTGGCAACACCACTACTTATAGAGTGGAGAGCGCACACAAGTTGTTAAAGGAATGGCTCGGCACTGCAAATGCTTCTTTTGAAATGGTGTGGCACAGGGTTCACATGTTACTGGAGACACAGTTTACGCAAATAAGGTACTGGATTTTGATCTCTCTTTAGTTAATTTGTGTGTTTAGGTTGTTTAATTAATTTGTTATAATTCCTCCACAGGGAGAAATTGCAAGAATCAAGGCAGAAAATAGGGAGGCAACACAACAAGTACCCTTTCTACCAATTAAGATGCAATGTTTTACACTACTGCTTAGATCTATTGAACAATGAGTTGGAAAGGATGCAACAACTCAGAGATGATGTATATTGGGAATGCAATCATTACCTGAAGCAAACTCATTCCCTCCCCTGTGCATGTATACTTAAGCGTATAATGGAGGCCAACGAGATTTTGACTCTAAAATACTTACACCAATTTTGGAGCACACTTGACATCGGTGAGGTTACAGAGAAGGATGGTTCGGATGGTGTTCCCCCTCACAGATTGTTGTTCAGGGAGTTAGTGGAAGAATTGGACGCTGCTGAGGAGCCAATACAGCGCGAGATCACCAGATTGATGTACAACAAACTTCACTCGGGCCAAGCCGGATTAAATGAACCGCGGGTTGGAAAGAGAGGCAAGGGCAGGCCGAAGAAAAGGGGCATCTCAAAAAAAAAAGCAAGACAAACCAAATGTGTGGGCATACAGGGACGGCAGTCAGGGTGGCACCAATACCAGCGGTTCCAGTAAAGCAGGTACGAGCCAAGGTACCTCGGGTCAAGGTGGGATGAACACCCAAAGTTCCAGTAGAGGCCATACGTCGGGAGCTGAAGATCAGAGCAGAGGTTCGATATTACTTTATCTTTTTAAATGTGCGAAATATTATTTTTGCAGTTTGATGCAAGCAATTTTGTTACTGACCCATGCGAGAGCAGGTACATGGACTGGCCAAGGTGGGACGAACACCAGCAGTCCCAGTAGAGGCCACACGTCGGGTTCCGAACCCCATGTCGGAGGTACGATTATAATTTATATTGTTCTTAAATACTGATAGGTAATTCAGAAATAATGATATTATTTTACGTGGTTAAAGATGTGATGCAGATAGACTTTTTCCAGTTTAGGCACAAGAATAAGATTCCGCAGGTACTCCACAATCATGTTCAGTCATATCTTGATGTCGAGCCTGACGGCAATTGTGGTTTCCGCGTCTTTGCGAGTTGCATCTTGGGAGGGTAAAATAATCAAGTTTTGTGCAGACAGATATGTTATGATGATGTTATAAATAACCCTGGCCTGTACGGAAACCTTTACGGGTATGAAGTCAGTTTAATTTTGGTGAGCGGTTTTAATACACTTGCATCAATGTTGTTTTATTTAAAACCTTCATTTACTTGTCTTTGTAGGTGAGAAAATTTACCTGCAAGCCTAGAGCATATACGGTGGACTGGTACCTCCGTAGGTCACTGGATGTCGACAGAGGACTTTTATCCCCTTGCTACATATTTCAATGCTGTTGTGTACTACTTCAGAACCAACGGTGCTGTAAATCTAAACGGCACCTGTTGGACTGTGCTACCACTGATCGCACGGGGCGGGGCAACAAGACCAGAGTTCCAAATAGTTATTTGCCACCTTGAGCCTTACCAACACTTCATTCGACTCAATCTGCAAGGTGATTTTCCGATTCCCCCCATTCACCCCATTTGGCTGCATGATCGTGATAGTAGTGTTATTGGTTGGGAAGAATCTTTTGAACCCAGACTGCAGCTATGGCGTACTTTGGTACCTCCGATAAGACCCACACGGGAATTTTGTGCGCATTTTTCCCTCGAAACTGAGTGACCGGCGTGAGCGGCGCACGAGGTATGTACTGCACGTAACCGAGTTGGCATAGCACTCTCTCCGGCATGTGTGGCTCCTGGAAGTCGTGGTACATAATTCACCCACTGAAGATGGTCCTCGGATATGCTGCCGCCTGTTCGCGACCAAATGGCTCCCATTCGACCTGCGAACGTTACCGACATTTATTATAGTATACACAATGAAATACCCCTTACGCAATACACAATAAAATATAAAGACTACCTCTTGCTCAGTCATCGCATCGAGCTGTGCACGAATCTGCTGGAGACGACTATGAATAGGTTTCGGGCCCTTATAGCTAACCGATGTCCAGTCTCGGGCTCTGGGCCAACCATCAACACCTCGATGTCCCC